GTAAATATGTTATAAGTTAGAAGTTAACACATAATTAAAGTATCGTGGCATCGTTTGGGAATATACGCCTCGTGATATTATTAACTAAAATAGTAAATAGATAAAATCATTAATGGAAAGGATTTTTATATATTCTACTAATGGTAATTAATAGTGAAACTTAGACTTAGTCTTTCCATAACGTTTTAGTGTTTGCGTTTATTGTTTTCGCTGTGCAATTTATTTTGTTCGTTCGGCTGTTTGTATGCTTATTGTTGATATCTGCGGTGATACAAAGCTATCGGATTAAGTTTCCCACCATTTTGTTGGTTAAAAAAAAATTTACGTTACTCAAAATTTTGATCTCAGACTAGCGCTGCGAATTACAACTAACATCGGGGACAGCCGTTGGTGATTGTTAATTAGGTCTTATGTGTTAAGTTTGGATACGTGTCGGCAAAATTATTACAATCGCAGCAAACTTTGGATTTAAAAAAGAAAAACCTCCGCAAACCTCAAATACGGCGAAACAATAACAATAATAATATTTTATATTTTGCAATGTATACCAAAATACTGCATTTTTAAATAATAAGTTAATAAGTGAGAGAATTTTTTTTTTAATTAAATTATAGCGTCTTCTTTTTAAAACATATTTTCTATCTATAATTTCGCTTTTTTTTCGCCCGATTTTGTTGCAAAATACTTTATATAACCGTCTGTGTTACTAAGTAAGGTAATGCACAAAATAATCAACAACGGGATGCCTTCATAACAGTACAACTTTAACAATAGCCTACAATAAGTAAATATTATAAGATACAGGTAAATCTGACAGTATGCGGATAAAAAATTGTTTCTGTGTCGGGCAACACCGAGCGTCATCTGTCAATGTCATTACTAAACATTAGTGTTGCCTATTCAGGAAGTTTTCGCGATTATTTTTGAATTTTTGTCTCCGAATGCAATTTGCTTTTACAAGATAAACAGAAAGATAAATTTTTTATCCACATCAAGCCAGAAAATCTTATAATTTCAATAAGTTTTTGTTGAATTTTACCGTTAAATAATGTTAAACTGCCACATTTAATTCGTTCAATATTGACGGTAAATTAATTGAACATTTGTTTTTTTGTCTTGAAACGAACAGCATATTTTGTAAATAAAATAATACGATCATCATATTTTACTACACACGTTCACAAACTGTTTCACAAATCAAATCTTGCTCTTTTAAATCTAAGTATTACCTCTAATAATATTAAGTATTACCTCCAATTTTAATCGTTTAATTTTTAAAATAAACTTAATGTAGCAAGTAAAGCCGGCTGGCCAGCGGTCCACTGCAAGAAATTATTATAATATTTATTTCGATAAATGTAACGTATACGGGGTAGAATAAGTTTTAAGGGATTGAATTATCGATAACTTAGGTTGCGTTCAGATGTTGCGAATGTGTCTCGTTGCTGCGCACGCGGCACATTCGATACATGTGGATGTAACCTTGTTTCTAGCAGTGGTCGCGCTGGCCATCCAGCAATTCAATACCTGGACGAGTCAATATACGTGATCGCTTATATTTATGTAAAAGAATAATTATAGATATTGTGAAACAAAGCTATACTATATGTTAATATAATAGTTTTTCTCATACACACATTATTTTTGTTAAACCATTTCCATATTTAAAATGCAATAGTATTTATTGTCTGTAATTTTATTACTTCCGGTAATTTCTGGTAGAAGTAAAATTATAGACAAAACCAGATTACAATAGTTAATTATATAAAATAATTTTAAATTACTCGACCGAAGAAGCGTGAGCCGTTTTTTAAGAATCAAACGACTGTGTTTAAAGATTTTACTTGTTACTGAAAATTTTGAGTTTATCGTTTTTTTTTTTAATTTTATACAACACCTTGAGGGCACAAGGATTTGTTTTTCAGTACATTTTTAACGACTTTCCCTCAAAAAAATGCTTTTTCAGTACTGATTATCGTTATGTATAAATAATTATTTTATGTTATTTTATGTTTCTACTTAGAACAAATGCCCAATGTCCAAAAGATCTTTACAATAATAAGTCGTTTTATTCTTAAGTCAATAGCTTTAATATATACAGTATCTTCCAGTCTTATATAAATATTATATATACCAGTTCTAGCAATAGTTTTCAGTCTGCCATAGTACCTCAATAATTATAACATTTATACGTATGTAAATGTAACAATAAGCAGAATATCGCTAATCGCTCCTTCAACTTGTAATAGCAATGTTATTTGCAGTATTTTACTTGTTAAAAGTTATCGTTGTTTACATTCTACTATAGTTTACTCGAGCTCTACACAAATCCCTCGAATTTTAACGCCACAGATTATGTAAGAATTACTTATTCCTTCATTCATTTTTCTAATTAACTTCCTTTTAAAATATCCTAAACATTGTGTTATCAGTCCAGAAAAAAATTTGACTGATTCATAATTAAATTTCGTTCAGTAATCATTGAAAGCTTGTCGTTTCGTTTGACTAAAATCTCAATTGATACTCTTATATATAAACTTTCAATGAGAATTCGTTTCATATTAATTCCCAATACATTGTTAAATAGTGTTGATCCTCGTAAGAAAGCATGAGCTTACTCTACATTATAGTAATAAAATGGTTGTTGTTAATGTTATAGTGAAGGTCGCGTCAACACCGCGCCGGCCGCTCTCTTACCTTACACTAAATAGTTACATAAAAACAAATAGTTCCGTAACTCCAAGTGCACTTACAATCTCTATATAAAAATAAGTATTATTAACTAAGTAGCCGCTTCTTCGGTCGAGGTGATGTCGTTGATAGCCACTCTTGCAGCAACTAAATAAAAGTATTTACAATTTATTCACTAACATACAGTTATATTACTAGAAAGTAACTTTTTTATCTACAGATAATAAAAATATGTGGTGCGATTACGCTAACACAGCCGCGACTAGTGTGAGATATTTTTGTAACTTGTAAGTATCCAAATGTAATTGCCTCAAATAGTATTTGCTGTGACGTCAAAGAACTTTTTTTTTACTTATAAATAATTATGCAATGTTAACTTTTTATATTGAAAAAAGCGGCCAGTTTTAGCGTAGTCCCATCGCCAGTTTGTTACGCTTTGGTGACACATTTTATACACAGAAATATTTTTTTATGAAATCAATTTATATGTGAATGTTAATTAAGTGGCAATTCTAATTTTAACTGCACTATATTTTTGCTGACACACTTAGGTATAGGTTTTTGTCTTTTTTTTCTTAATTTAATGTATGCACGATCTGCGTTTTTATTAGCATCGATTTTCTTTTGTTAATTTTAAGATTCCCTCGCCTCGAGGGGCGCGTACTCTCGGCGGCGTGCAGGGACCGATTGCATATTAACTTATTGTATTGTTTATAACGGCCGCCGCGTCTGCCGAACGTACGCAGCCCTGGGCGCTTTACTATGCCTAAACTAATATTGTGTTACTATTATGTCAAAGTTATAGTTTGCCATCGTTGATCAAAGAGGATGAAATATGTTTTAAATACATTTAGTTAAATGAGTTTTGTTATACTTTTGAGGTTCGGAAAATAAAGAGAAAGAGGTGTACAAAAATGTTTCATAGTATTGTGTATTTGGTCAATAAGGTTTAGGTGTGAGAGCCGCGACTCGCGGTCGCGTAGAGAGGTAGGACTCCTTTGAGAATTGTTGTAATTTGTAACATCTATCTCAATGAGGGCACTTACAGTACTATTGTTAGTGGAAAGTCGATTAACGAACTGTTGACGGTTCTTGACAATTACTGATACTCTACAAATTATTTAAAAAAAAAGGTCGCATCGTTTTATACAGAGTGTTCAAACATTAAATCTTGCCCTGAACTTGTATGTTTTTGTTAGTAGCGAGAAATTAATTAACCAAACATCCTATATAGCTTCTGTTTAAAATAATGTTTGTAATTTAGATTTGTTATTTTATATCAGTAATTGTCGGGTTAATGAAGAGTGTCTCTACTTGTTTTGATGTTGTTGATATATGTGAATAAGGAATCAATTCGGGCTGCGCAGTACATATCAAAAGTCGGATGAACTTAGTACTATAAGTATCTTCGGGTCTGACGTCACGTCGAGGGATATTCGGTAGCAATTGGTTTGGAAGCGCTCCTCTCGGTTACAATGTCAAATCCGCGTTCGCAAATCTGGTGCGAAACACTTGGATGTAATAAAAGTATAAAATTAAATAAACTCGCAGTGATTCCATTGACGCTATGCATTTTTATTAATCACCCTGCCCGCGTCCTCCTCTATACAACATTTAAGTAATATAATGGTTTAATCAGATCGTTATATATCAAAAGTCTACAAAGGCTTTGAAAAGCTGTACATATTCTTAATAAATAAAGCTGAAATATTCTTGTAATAGCAAATGAATGAAGAGAAATTTCACGACTTTCAAGTTCCTTAACTTGAGTCGTTAATTTGAAATAGTTTACAAATAATTAAGTTGCCGCTGACGATACCAATAGAATCTTGTCACATCTATCTACCCCACGAACAAAATACACGATCTCAAGGTAAGATTTAAGTGTACACCAGTAAATTATCTCAATTATAAACCATGATTTAATCATAAGAACGAGATAAACTATTAATAAAATTTTAAAAAAAATGAAAATTCCGACTTAGGACAACAAAGCTGAAATACGATGGATTAAATACTGCCATCTATGTTACCTCTTTGAAAACAGAACAAACACATACCAGAGCATTTACTTTACCTAAATCTAGATGGCGTTAGTAGCTACCAAATGCTGCAATATTTTTTTTGCTATTTATGTAATGATAGTGAAGTAACTTATATGATGGTAGAAAAATAGGTGTAAAAAATGGCAAATGGCTTTTTGACAAAATGTTTTTAAAATCAAGCATAGCAGAATTTAGACGAAAAGCTGGCCACATTTCTGTTAGTTGTCATTAATTGAGATTGTCAACAATGTCAGTGTTACGAGACACTGTCAGTGTCAAGTACTCGTGTATCATAGTTTTTGGATATTTCCTAAAAGTTTATAGTTTATTCTTAATTTCCATGAAACATCATAATTATGGATGCGTATGATATCTTTAAAAAACTGACAAAAGGCTTGAAATTTAAATATCGGGTTTTAGGTGTAAAAAATGATGTAAATATTTTATAACCTTAGCAAAACTGTTACTGCTATTTTCATATAGTAAATTCAAAAACATGTGTTCTATTTGTAATGTTTTAGACTCAGAATTCTAAGAAAAACGTCAAAGAAGGAGTAGAAAAGAAACACGAAGCTGAGGAAGTTAAAGAAGAAATAGATATAAAAGAAGAAATAGAGGATAATGATGAAGTTGTTTTGACTAACAGTGACAATGAATCTGAGAGTGAAAAAGAAGATTTACAGATAGTAGAAGGTGTAAAATTTGGTGAAAAGAAGAAAAAGGAAAAGAAAAATAAGCCAGAAGACTTAAAAAAGAAATTGGAATTAGAAGAGGTACTAAAATGTCATAAAGATGTCCAAGATTTTTAAATTCTAGAACATATTAAATAAAAATAAATAGTTTACTGTTGAGATGTATTACATGACTACATTATGTGCATGACAATTTATGTTATTCTAGAAAATGTGATTAAAATATCCACAACATGTGGTCTTAATATCTTAGTCATTGATGGACATACAAAAATTGTTTCAAATTAAATCTTGATTATATTTAGCAAATACAACTCTAATGAATCTTTAGGACTATATCTCTCATTGTTTTTAATTAATGTAATGTGTAAAATGATAAGTAATTATTTACTTTCTGCCTCTTTTTCAGCAAAACCGTTTTCGTAATGAACATGGTATAAAGGCAGTTGGCCGACACATACCAAGTGCACTGAAAGATTTTGCAGAACTAACTACTAGATATAATGTCAAGCCTACCTTAGTAGGTACAGTGACACAGTGTGGATATACAGAGCCCACACCTATACAGAGGCAAGCACTGCCTTGCATGTTGGAGGTGAGATGTTTGAACAGTTTATTTACAATTTTTTCAATAATTTGTAGGTTAAATGGGTTCAAAAAACACCTCTGGAGTCACATATTCAACACTAGACTATAAAAATAATAAAAATCTATTAAAAATATAAAATGTATTCAAATTATTTTCTGCCTATCGTAAGATTACAGGTGGTAATATTTAATGTTATTTGCTTTCAGGACCGTCGGATACTAGCGTGTGCCCCAACTGGGTCTGGTAAAACAGCAGCCTTCCTATTACCATTGTTTCACGTATTGGGTGGAGCGCAAGGAGGTCCCAGAGCACTAATCCTCTGCCCCACAAGGGAACTGGCACACCAGATCTACCGTGAAGCTCTACGTTTGGGTGCCTCTACGTCACTACGATGTTCAGTTGTTAAAAATGTCAAAGAAAACAAAATGAAAGAACGGGAAGCTACTATAAAGAAAAGTGGTAAGCCATATATAATCTATTTCTTACTAATATTTTAAATGTGAATGTCTTGATGGATGGATGTTTGTTAGAGGGTATCTCCAGAATAACTCCATGGATCTTGGTAAAATTTATTAGATGTAGAACATAGCCTGGAACAACACTAAGATTACTAATTAAGTTTTTTTCCGTTCGGATGGGGTCTCCGGCGACATCTAGTCTTTAAATATTTTTTTATTTGTTATTTCCAGATATTGTCATAAGCACTCCAAATCGTCTATGTTACTTGCTGAATCAAGATAATTGCACTATTTCTTTAGACAAGTAAGTTTGTGCGTGATTAATGAAATTTCTCTAGCTAGTTGCTTGAGTGTAATCTATTACAGGCGTAGAACGAAACCTCACAATATATATAACCTAACTTAAATTAAACAATTTACTTCATAAGTATTTACTGAGCTAGAATTGTAGTCAAACACTTAATTACTGTAAAATTAATTCTTTGAAAAAAGTTAAATATCAAACTATTATTTTTTAATGTTGTATTGTCTTCAGAGTCATGTAAATGAATAAAATGTTGGTGTTCAGGGTGAGGTGGGTGATAATAGACGAGGCGGACAAGTTGTTCGAGGGCAGCGCGGAGCAGGCGGGGGACTTCAGACAGCAGCTGCAGCGCGTGGTGGAGGCGTGCGGGGGCCGGCAGCGCCGCCTCGCCATGTTCAGCGCCACGCACACGCCCGCACTCGCCAAGTGGTGCCGCCACAACCTCCGGGGACTCATCTCTATCACTGTCGGACAGAGGTGACGATATCTTTATTTATTCATCTTAAAAAATCCACAGCTTCCTTACATTAAATCTTTAATCATAATATTATAAAACAAAAGCCTTAAATTACTTTATACTTAATAGTGTTACTAGTCGTCGCCCGCGACTGTCAGCGCGGAATTAAAAACAAAACTTAATGAGTAGCCTATGTCAATGCAGCCGTTCTGCCATAGCTTTAAACAGACATTGATCCATACATTCAAATAATCGCATTTATAATATTAGTATGATGTTTAAAATGTTAAATATTACTAGAAGTCCACTGGGGAGACAGAGTTACAAGTGTGTATGTGTATGTACGTAGGAACGCGGCGACGCAGCTGGTGTCGCAGCGGCTGCTGTACTGCGGCAGTGAGCGCGGCAAACTGCTCGCCTTCAGACAGCTCGTGCAGGCCGGACTCAAACCTCCAGTACTCGGTAACACATCATTTTGACAGTTATGACGTCACACTTTACAACCAATAACCAGTAGTCATTTGTTCTTAATAGACTGGCTATAAGATGTAGTATTTTGTGCCTATTTGATTTCCGCCATTTTGGCGCTGATGGTAACGGTTTGTAGCGGCGGTGGGGATTCGAACTAATAATATAGATGGATATAACTGTCAGGTAACATCAACAGGCGTGTTTAATTCGGAACGTTGCAAAGGCTATCATTTCCAAGTAATCACCTATCCATTTATAGAGATCAATGGGTAATGATGCAAGCTGTTTACAATGTTTTTTGAAATTCGAATTTACTCGTAATTTTTTCCAAGTTAATGTTTTTTCATAATGTTCCAGTTGTATGTAATGTGTGTGTGTGTGCGCAGTGTTTGTGCAGAGCAAGGAGCGCGCGCGGGAACTGTTCAAGGAGCTACTGTACGACGGCATCAACGTGGACGTCATACACGCGGACAGGACGCAGGCGCAGGTCAGATATAAATGTATATTCATTGTACACGTACATGGATGCTTCATGTCTAAAACTATAAGTTATTGTTCTCTTTTAACACATTACTAACAGTAGGTTTCTGAGTGCGAAATGCACTTTTAAAACATATTTTTTTCTCTGTTTTTTCAAAGATTTTGGTCTCAGAAACCTACAGTAAATCACTTTTATACGTGGATAGTGGTTTCGCGTGGCGAATCATTGGAAATTAACACATTTATATTTTGATGTGACGTAAGATGACACTTAATGTTTTCTGTATATCCAGCGTGACAACGTGGTGCGCAGTTTCCGCGTGGGGAGCGTGTGGGTGCTCATCTGCACGGAGCTGATGGGGCGCGGCATTGACTTCCGCGGCGTCAACCTCGTCGTCAACTACGACTTCCCGCCCTCCGCCATCTCATACATACACAGGTAGACGACATCATACACACATACACACACACACAGAGTTGTAGGAAATGAAGTACATATACGTGTTTGTGTTGTACACAGGATAGGGCGAGCGGGGCGCGCGGGGCAGCCGGGGGAGGCGGTCACCTTCTTTACGCAGGACGACGTCGTCAACCTCAGGAGGTAAGGACACTTCACAGAAATTTGAAAAATACATTCATTCAAAAAACTACTAAAATTGACTCTATTATTAGTGATAAATATACTCATCCATGGACTTTCATTTGACTTACAACTAGCGATAGCCCGCGACTTCTTAATCGCAGAAATAAAAAAACGAGCCCTATATTATGCCCACGTGCATCAGCCACCTACCCTTTAAAGTCGCGGCAATCGGTCCAGCCATCCGAATGTTACTTATCAAGAGTTTCTGAAACCCAAATCTTTGTTTAAAATATATTGTTATCTCTGAATTTTCAAAGATAACGAAAGAAAAGACGTTTTATACAGAGATTTCTGTCTCAGAAACACATAGTTAACAATACAATGACATGTTGTGTGTGAGATATGATATGACATGGTGGCAAATTGTGTTCAGCATAGCATCAGTGCTGAAGCAGTCAGGGTGCGAGGTGCCGCAGTACACGCTGCAGCTGGCCAGGGAGCGCGCGCGCGCTCGCTGCAGGCAGCACCACGCGCCCTCCAGGGAACACATATCCACCGCGCTCCGCAAACCTGACAAGTATGTCTCACTCAACCACTTCAAGTCGCCCCTGTACATTAAAAAAACTAGCGTTCTTCCAGACTATGTTCTACATCTATGACAAATTACACCAAGGTATCTTCTAACAAACATCTATCTATCCATACATTCGTATTTATAATATTAGTAATTAACCTAAGTTGTTAAGTAGCATAAAGCAAATGATTATGTAAATTGAAAGCTTACAAATGTCCCAATTCGTTATTTACCAAGATATAAATAACATAAATAATGTTCTCTAAATTATCCATACTTTGAAAGTCCTCCGAAACATACATACATACATACATACAAAAAATGCTTCACTTACTTTGACTTAATATTTTCAGGAGAAAACTTGAAGATGACAATAAAGAAAAAGATCAAGAAAATGCTAAAGATACAAATAGCGTGAAAGACGCAAAGAACAAAAAACATAGGAAAGTTTCTAATACAGGAGAGGGAAAGCATCGTAATAAAGAAACCAAACAAAAACCTAGACAGAAGAATGACAAGAACAAAGATGGCGGACACAAGAGAAACAAGAAGATAGATAAAAAAGAAAAGAAACTCAACAAGAGGAAGAAGAAATCATTCTCAAAACCAGCGGCGTCTAGTTAGTGAAATAAACGATGTTTTTACTATTATACAAATACTTTGTTTAAACAAACTAGAAATAATATTTTAAAAGAATCTAAATCTTCATATTAATAATATTATAAATTCAAATGTATGGATGTATGGATGTTTGTTAGAAGGTATCAGCAGAACGGCTGCATGGATTGCATTAAATTTGTTATAGATGTAGAACTTAATAATATAATTTAACGCGGACGAAGTTGTGAAGGACAGTTACAATTTCAAAATAATATTCCTATTATTGTGACAGTATTTGAGATAGTAAAAAATAAAAAAAAAACATAGAAATGCTTCATAATTTATTTGATTATGCAAAATATAAACTAAGAAACATACAAAATATACAGTCTTTAATGCAATATATACAAAAAATATGCCTTAAACAAAATCATATATCAGCTGTGCATCCCAAGCGCAGATATGGCACCCAATGGATTTTAACTAAATTATCTAGTTCCCTCAAAAATAACACAGATTTATTAATATTATAATAAGTTTAAGCCTCTTTTATTATATAAACTACGCTTATTAACTAAAAAGAAACAATTTTAGATATGATTTCTTGAAAATTCATTTTAAATTGGTCGATATGAACTTAACTTTCTGAATAGGCTTACAGTCTTTGTTTCATAAAGTAACAGTTCATTTTACATAAATTAAAATGATCATTTGATTCAATAATTTACAATATTATGCAATTTTAATTTATAAGACGTTTTAAGAGATTCTTAACTAAAATATACAAAAGTAAAAATGGCAACAATTTATGTCTCATATACAAATAACAATTTTATCAAAAAATAGCAAGATTTATTTACAAATATTAAATTTCTATTTACAATAACACCAGCGTTATACATCAAACTATCAAACAGATTAATTTCTTGAATAATTATTTATATAAGAAAAAAGGTTGACGACCACGAATTAGAGTAGTCATATTTACAATAATTCCGTAGTTGTCAACATTTTTGTCAACTTTTATATTTTGTTTTCTCTTTAACATTTTTATGTTTTAAAAAACAATATTGTTATTTATAATTGATTTAGTTATAATATTATGTAAGGTGTTGCATACAGCTGGTGTATTGTACATAGAAGAGCAACGAAATTCCCCTGGCCGGTTATTTGGCATAATTAATTAAAATAAACTTAACAAAAACTACACCGAACATTCTACACTACGATGTCTTTAATTACATTTAAAATGGCGATATAACCCATATATTAAAAAAATATTTGAAAGAAATAAATGATAGGTGATGATTAATAATAAAATATATATATAAAAATATTGATTTTATAAATATCAAAAATAGATACTTTGTTTTCATATAATATATAATAGTTACGACGAAGAATGACGTGCGCATGAGTGAGTGAGTGAGTGAGTGAGTGAGTGAGTGAGTGAGCGAGTGAGTGAGTGAGCGAGCTGGGGCGGTCACTCGCAGAGCCAGTCGCAGGGCAGACGCGGCATCTTGTTGGCGGGCCAGGGCAGGTAGCCGGCGGACTTGAAGACCCAGTAGTCGTAGCTGACCTTGGCGACGAGCAGCGCCAGCACGAGCGCCTCCAGCGCTATGATGTAGTAGATGTAGTCGGTCCAGTCGCGCGGCGCGTGGCACACGTCCCCCTCGCGCAGCTCCACCACCGCGCCGCCCCCCGCACACTGCAGCGCGCGGTAGTCCGGGATGTTGCGGAAGTTCTCCAGCAGCCACGGCTGCACATGCACACAAAAACCATTCCTTTCATTGAGTACACTGACTACGTCTTAACCACGCTGCGCCAGGCTACCACTAATGTATAAATTCGAAGTTCGAACTCGGGAACTGTGTAAGAGTTTAGTGCGTGCCTTCAACATAGTGCTGTAAATAATAGTAAGCTATATAATTAAAGTAAATATATGTCCTTCGAGCCTACCTTTAGAACCTTCTCAGTGTTACAGTCGCAGTGTATGTAGTTGCCTCCGATAGAGAACGCCGTGAAGATGCCGGTCGTGTCGAACTTGTTGGAGAGCACGTACGTGTGGATCTGACGAACAAGTACAAGCTTATAAGTATGTATAAGTGACAAAAGACATGTACCAAAGGATGTTTCTGGGGTATGTGAATGTGTACCGTCTTGAGCTTGTTGTGGCTGATGGAGAAGTACATGAAGTTGTCGATGAACTTGGAGCCCTCGAGCTCGACGATGTTGTCTATGTCATTGTAGTCCACGATGAGCTGTCGCAGGTGCTCGTAGCTGGGGTCGTCGCTCACCGCCTGCAGCGATGTTATCTGCGCACAACAATGTTCCTCATTCATTTATACTTAATCAGAATCATGAACCGAAATGATGCAAAGGTAGTTTTTGAGTTTTTTTTTTTTAAATTGACAGAATGCATCGTACATTGAGAAAGAAAAACTAAAAAGCAAATTGTACAGGGTACAGTTTCCTTCAAAGGAGCGGCAAAGACGTTTATTTTTTTTTGAAAATGAGACTGACGTTGTTGTATGAGACGTTGAGTTTGACGGTGTTGGGAGGCAGGTTGGCGGGGAGCTGGGCGAGGTGACGGCGCGAGCAGTCGACGGCCACCAGGTTGGTGACGCCGGCGCTCAGCAGCTCCAGCCGCTCCGGCACGCACGTGCAGTTGATGCCCGCAGGCGTTATGTTGCGACAGCTGACGTTCAGCTGCAACAATAACACACCACCGGCTACTTTATACACAAGTCCACGAATTGATAACTCTTAATTAAAAAAAAAACGAAAAGCCCTACTAAGTGCATTACAAAACCAAAATAATTGAAAATGTAGAGACTCGCGTTACCTCAGTCTGTATGCGCAGATGGTCTATCTGCACGATCTTGACATCTTTGAACCAGTTGAAGACGAGGTCGAGGGCGCAGTAAGTATTCTTATAATTGAGGAATGTCACCAGCGAGCTGTTGTTGTTGTTGTTCGCCTCCATCGCCTTCTGGAAGTGCTTGCACGGCAGATAGTTGTTACCTGCAATAAATAATAACGTATTTACTCTTATAATTGACTTAACGAAATCTATTCCTACAAAACGTAAGCACTAACCGGAGAGGTCGACAGATATCTTGCGGTTGCTCTGGACAAGACTGAGCGGGAACTCGGTGAGGTTGTTTGCGGAGGCATCGAGTACAGTCAAATTGAAGAGATACGCAAACGGTCGCTGGATGGAGGGCTGCAGCTTGGCCGTCGTCAGGTTGTTGTTGGAGATGTTCAGACACGCGATCGGAGAGTACTTCGGAAACTGACCTACATATACAATAAGTACTGATTTTGACCACAGCTTAAACATAATTTGACGTCATCCAACTAATGTGGCTGTATTGTTTTCGATGAGTAAATTTCACAAACAATGACCGACACTGCTTCCAAGTTTTCCAAAATAACAACGCAAAAAGTAAACCAACCAAATTCTGTTACAATTATATTATTTACCAAAATGACCAGAAAAAAGTGAGTTTTTTTACAAACATAAAAACTTACATCACATTGTCACAAACAAAATACTTAAAATATACATTAAAAATCTTTATATCTACTCACTGCTATCGTTGTTCCTTTTTTCTTCCAGAACAACATCCTCGGCTTTAGCATGAGTAAACAAAGAGCAACATTACTGATAGTGATAGCTACCATAAACACAACGCGGAAATACCTTACACCCACATTGACACTGATATTTGTCTGCACTGGGAACCGATTACGACAATCAATATGCATATTTCCTTTGATGATTTATAGAACAGACTATTTTTTATCTAAAACTAGTATAAAACTTGTAGCTGACTTAACAAAGGAACCATAACCTAAGAGAAAATTAGCGTGATTTATTACATAGTTGCGCGTATCGTCCATTGATACGCCTTTGAACGCATTCCTATCTCTTTCCTTATCCTCAGCCACGTCAAATTCTCTTGAGTGAGGTAAGTATTCCTGCTGGTATCATCATCTCATAACGAGTTAATAATTTGCACCTTAAGTCAATACGTTTAAGAGTTATAATATACTGACCGACAATCTTGCCGATGTTTCCATCAGTGAAGGCCATGGAGGCGAGCCGGCGGAACACCGCCTGCGACACATCCAGCTCCTCGATAGTTGCGTTCAGCACGTGCAGGTTCGTTGTGTTGGGCATCACTGAAAACACGCGCAAAACATAACACATCTTGCTCTTCGGGTTTGATCTGAACTCTTGTTTACAGAGTATTAGCCTACCGGTTCAAAAAAATGTAATGAGTAAATTTAAAAATAAAGGTTTTATGACATGTTTCCTTTTAAAATCCAGACGATCAATTAAAATAATCAAGAAAACTGGACAAAAGAAAGGAAACTAAATTTGCTTAAAAAATTCTTCGTCAGAAGCAAACTATTTAGAACTGAACGAGATGCAATTAGCGTGTAAAATATTTGAGAGTTTATATTTTATTTATATGTCGGTATTGTCTATCAGTAACATATGCATTGTTCGCGATAAGTTATGCGGCCTGCGTGGCCATTGTGTCGTCGCCAGCAGTGCGCGCCTGTTCAAGGCCATGATACGGTCACCGCCTCTAGCAACAGAAACATTCAAAATACAGGATAAACGAATGTAATTTGGATGGAGGATATTTATGGATATACAAAATAATTGAATAACTTTGATAAATCAAAATTCTTACGTAAGCGGAAAACTTTTTTCATTAGAATTTTTGCATGCCCAATAGTATGGTCATTTTGACCACTTTTGATGAATAAATGCTTTTTCGAATAATTCAGACGTGATGATGGAGTTAGTAATACAGTGTGTCACTCACTAACAATGGCGAGGGCCTCCTTGAGTCGGAAGCTGTCGACGTCGCAGCAGAAGACGGAGGCGGGGTCTGTTCGTGCGCACTTAGCGGCGGTCGGGCAACGCTCGCGCGGCATGTGGTAGCACTTGCCGTGCTTCAGCTCCGGCCGCGGTGGCGCGGGTGCGGGCGGAGGCGCCGGCGGCTGCAGGGACACAAACTCAAATTATTTTTTTT